CGTTGATAGTGACTGTGGTAGGTGTTGCAATTAAGGCAGCAACATGACTACAGTAAACAAATAGTACTTATTAGAATAATATGCACTGGCGCCATGAGATATGATTAACCCATATCATCACTCACTGGCATGAATAGTAATTAGCCAATAGATGCCTGACAGCATACATTGGCTTCAGGATCTCCAACAACCTTCCCGTTTAGGTTAGATTAGGGAGTATGTTGGAGTTCATACTAGTGTGCGGAAAACCCCGCTTTCATGTATATAGAGGGACTTCTTGCCACACACATAGAATTATAGCAATTTAATCACAATTAACTATCCATTAAACATCAGTAGACTTCGTCGTACATTAAACAAACTCATCATAACTCTAATTTATCCTCATACTTGGTATGTCATTCTTACAATTTCCGGAACCATTCTAATTGTAGGCATATCTTGTGGTGCTTTAGTATGATGAGTGGTGCAGTTTGAGCGGCGAACCCGGGCTCATAACCTATTCACAAGGTGACGTCTCCCTATCCATCGCCCTCAGCCTTTCAATAATTTCTTGACAAATTCTGCGTCACGCTCCTTAAACCTTTCTACCATAGATACTTTTTGTTGAGATTGTGGAATACTAGTGCTTTCGAGATCCCAAGGATTATCTTCCATCTTGGCAACTGGGAGTGTATAAAGAAAATATAAATATCTTTTTTTTTATTTTTTGGTGCGTCGAGTGTGAGGAGGTAGAGTCAATTTGCGATGTACCACGAGGAGGAATATTGATAGATCGATGATTTTAGATCTATCTGATGGGATGGATATGTAGGGTAGACAATATGTCACGAAAATGAGAGGGCTAGATTGACAATGTCGAATCTGGTTGATAAGATTGTCTACAAAGAGAAAAAAGAGTCCTAATAAATACAAAATTAAAACATATAAAAAGCAGTACCCTTGTCCAAATAGACGATATCACGTGATCTTATCTAAGTGTAAGGATTCTTGAGAAATGCCTCAGGTAGGATTTATGGGTTCCTTGTTTAATCCCACTAGTCTTTTTTTTTTTTTTTTTTTTTTTTGCATCAGATTTTAATTGCGTATGCAGCTATCTAGCTATGACACAATATCAGAGAAGTGTATGATAGATGACTCAATTTACAAGAAGAGCACTCATGCCTCGGATTTCATTTGCAAGTACCACTGCGAAGTTATGGTGGCTTCCCACTAGTCTTTATTGCTTAGCAAGGGCACCTATGTAGTTTCCATTTCCGAGACTGAGATCTTCACGCTTTGTTTTCTGTCTTTAGGAATAGTTACATTATTCTAATCACATCTCACTCTCGTCCTCTGCCAAACATAGTGACCTACCGTCACCTCCGGCCTCTCTATCTAGAACGACTCTCCGCTTTCCCATTTACCACTTCTCTAGAAAGCCCTCCGCGTTACCACGAGGCGTCCTTCCTCAGTACATCGTACGCTACGCCCTCTCCTACGCCTCGAGTCCTGCGCTTAGTAAACCTGCGCCTGACACTAAGCTTCTTTCCTTGTCACTCCTCAAACAGTACCGCCCCTCAAAAGTGCTCATTCGATCATACACTTAGAGGGGCCCTTTGCCCTTCATTATTTCTCCTCCCTATCCATCGAGATAATGGCCGTTTGCGAGTGCATGGCAGCCGGGAAAAATCGCAAAAAGCCACTGGGTGCGGAGCTCTCCCAACGGCGACATTAGGACTAGATCCGAAGACATAGTGACCCTTCTAAAGCGTTCGAAAAGTCCGGCCAGCTGGGCGCTGCAGACTTGTGGTCGAAGTACAGGTTGAGCTGCAGGAAATCTTGAGTGTAACCAGCTCCTTCATCGAGACAGAATCGGCTATGTGGTTCTGGAAAAGAATGAATTCCTTAGGCAAAGGCCAATAAGTGCTGCTCCGAGACTGGCGAAACACAACGTCATACTCGAAGAGGCAGGGGGACCATTCTCAACATCTGTCAGTGGTGTCCCCTACGAACCTCCAGCTCTCACTGTAGAGTCTGCAGAGCCGAGATTGAGTAACAAAGTCCTCACTTCGACGAGGATTCCCAATCGCTTTCGCGGTCTGTATCGTCTTCATCTCTCAACACATTCCCCTATCACCACTATCATGAAGCTAACCACGATCAGATCAGATGGTAGGATCGGAGCCCTACTCGTCACCCACCCTTGATCATGGAGGAAAAGCCACCCGATGAGTTTCTGGAGCGTACCTAGCACCCGATACGGCGATGGTGGATTGGATCAAGTCGGCCTCGACTGTTACAAAGAAGGGAGACATAGACGAATATGCGCACCTCATGTGGTCCCGGTGTCTAGGCCTCGCCTGGCTGGGGCTGCAGGTTTTTTGAGACATTTTCCCGCGCACGCAGTTTCCATTGCTACCATTTTATTTTTTTTCTTGGATAGAAGGTTCCGTGGAAAAGGTGGCTGAATTCCACGGGTAACCACTGAGCTGAATGGCTAATCATCACGGGCAATATATCAATGACCTTTCAAGTAACAAAAGAGGCAAGGAGCACTGTACAAGGTGTGGTCTGGGCCAGAGAGGAGCCCAGCGTGCTAGATAGTCATAGACTCAACTAGGACAATAAACACACACACACTCGAAGAGGCTTCCAACCTTGTCGGCTTTCGGATCGCGAATTTATCCGCGACCCTACGAATAGTCGAAGGTACTCATACAGTCGATGCTGAGTGTATCTCAACCGAAATCCACCATAGAAACCGAGAGGTACCAATCTAGATGTGATCTTACGGGACATAGCGTCCTGGTACTCAGTATAGAATTTGGCAGGCCATTTTCCACCTTGATTACACCCCTCGTGCGGGCTTCCGCCTCTTCGAAGAGTCTGATATGGCTAGTATCCACAAGCCTCGTCCGCAAATTGAACAGTGCAAACGTTGTTTGGGCTTTCACGCTATCCATGGTTGTTCCTGTGCTCCAGCCTGCTGGAACTGCGATTCAAATATGCACTCTGAAGAATAGTGCAAGGCCTCCACCAATTGTTGAAATTGTGGAGGACCTCACCGATCGGATTCCCGGGAATTCTGGACCGGTGACCAAAGAGCAGCTCGTGTGGATTCGTCACATCGAGCAAGGGATGTTCGCGGAGGTGGCACGAGCTCGGGCTCCAACCTAAAAGGGCCCAAGAGGAGCTTATTGCCTCAGCGAAGGATATCTCAATGTCCGAGGGAGCAGTTTTTGGAGTGCTGGAATCCGAAGAAGAAGCTTCAGGACACAGCGACCTCGACGATGTCCCTTTTGGGGCATTTAGTAATCAATATGTCAGGAATTGAGGATAGAGATTACCGGGTTACAGTGGTTGCCATGGGTTACGAATTGAGTAATCGAGAAGTAGAAGGTGAACTCTATGAGACCTAGGTTGCTCTGGTTACTATGATGTATATATTGATTAGACACAGCCGCAGGGGAGGGCCACATTTAGTCCACTGTCTACCACTGGCCTTGTTTCCTACCCTAGATTCCCTCGTGCGTCGTCCTTAGTTTTAGTAACAATTACGCAATTATACCTTTGACTCTTGCCACCCACCCCAGATATTACACAAGTCACTCAGTATCCCTCCCGACGCTACCTTTGGCACTCTCATGTTTGACACATTAGCAGGATACCAGCTGGATTAAAGGTGCCTGCTAACCCATATCTTGCTCTAAGCAGAGACGGAGTACATTTGTGATTTGAAAGGTGCGACGGGCGAGGGAATGCACGAAGAGTGCATTGCTGGGTTCATCATGGATGAATCTTCTAGTTTTCGGATACGATTTTATTGTCGGGGGGGGGGGTAGTTTTTGTTTCTGTTTAATCAGCTGCACCTTTGGCAGCGATTCACGAGGTTGGAACGAGCTAGGCTGTAGGAAAAGATACAGAGAAACTTGCTGGTTCCACCGGTCCTTCGCCCATAGTGGATGTAGAGCTTTAGCATAGAACTATCCGATCTAAAAAAAACTAAGACTCGTAGGATTTTATATTATTAAATCAAGAGCACCTTTCTGCTAGGGTTCATTCAAAATAAAACTTGTATTACGAGGGAATAAGAAGATTGTGGTTAGATAAAGCTAATTACAAGAAGTATTAAGGAAATAATGATCCCTCAGTCATTGAGGTTGTAGAGAGCATTGATTAAAGTGACTACCGAAGTGAAACTAAGTACAGAATTTGTAGTCACGTGTATATCGACAACGTGGCCTACTTGATAGCTCCAATTATTCTAAATTCTAACAAGAAGCAGCATAGGAGATATGCATGAAATATGCCAGTTCAGCTGACAAGTTTAGACGCAAATGCCAACCCTTGATAAGACATAACAGGTGATAAGCCTGGGCCATCACCATCCAGCGCAAGGAAATAAGTATCTGAATTTTACTGCAAAGAAAGATTAAAATGTATCGACGACGATAAATTATTTTCTTTCAATTTTTATAAATTTTTATCATAAACGTGCCTGACGGCTATGCGGCAAGTAATGGAGCTCCCACCACATAGGTTGGCTCCAAAGTATGAAAGACCGTCATCACATGCTCAAGAATAATTGAGTTGTGCTCAATAATAACGAGTAACCGAGTCAAATATGTCGACTCTGTCGCCTTCTCTCTTTCCTTGCAACCCATGAAATTATGCAGCTCTCCGGGATCTGCTTAGTTCCTCTCATGCTAAGATGACTGGCAATCATCTTCTATTAATACAATAACGACGATAAATGCATATGCCCTTCGACAGGAGCGATTCTCTTGCCCTCCGCTGAATCTCCGACTTACCCGGCGGTTCCCTGCCTCGTGTTTGGTTGTTCCCTAAACTTGCTTTTGTTTCATCACGATTTCCCCGGTCCATCACCGCCAGAATCCGAGACACGTAACCTACCACTTGCAATCTACGCATTAGCTCTATGTACACGTCCCACATAATATCCATCAAACACAAGGTCTTTAACAATTTGCTGTGATAAAAGTTAGTCCTCTGTCAAGATGGCACTTCAGCATGCCTACGTACAGTTTCTCTCCCAACCGAATGAATCATTTCTGGCGGATGATGCCTCACTACATTATATATCATCGCTAATTACTATTCATAACGCCACCAAAATTGTGAAAAATATTCAAAGCAATGAGCTGAAGATCAAGGCACAAGAAGTCCTTGATGTCGTGGAAGGCACAAACAGTTTAGCAGTCGAGACAAGCACCACTCTGGAGTTTATTACAGGAGGTGGCTCTTATTTGCCATCTCTAGATGATAATTTTCTGACCGGTCGAATTGTAACCTTGCCCATAGTACGTCCGAACTCCTAAATATAAGTTTTACACTAAAGCGTCCAGACTCACTTTGTTTCTTTTACTGAAAACTTAAAAATTAAACAAGTACGGCTTAGCTGGGATCAAGGCTCTCTTCTCAAAGGCATCGATATAATTGGTAAAACAGGCCGAAACTGGCCCATCTTTGAAGGCAAAGATCAAATAAAGCTCATTGCTTCAGCTCAGAAGCCTAAGGGCAACCCAAATGATGACCCGGCTACAAGGTTTTACAATAATACAAAAGGCTCACAATTTCCATCCGTCAATGATCAAGAGCGTAGTATGTCCCAGAAAAAAACATTTCATGCCAAATCAGGTGCTGTAAACAAATTTGGGCCCTCTCGTCTCTTTGACTTGGAGGGATCAGATGCTGCAACTCCTGAGAAGTCGACTAATGTCAAAAAATTCCAACATTTTGACTTTGCAGAAACCGCTGAACAAGAAAATAAGGCTAGGCCACTCATGCATGTGAACGCCAGCAAGCATGGCACTCAGTGGTCATTTGATGATTTTATGACACCCCAAAAAATTGTGCCCTCAAAGGTGCAAAAGAAAAATGAAGTGCGCCATTGGGGAAATAGTGATGATGAGGTTATTGAGAGCACAGATAGAGTCAAAAAGCAGGAAAAGCCACGGAAGGAAAACGAACGACATTTTGAGCTTCAGGACGAAGATTATCCAGAAGAAAGAATGCGCAACGTTGGACGTCCTCTGGGGAAAGCTCACAATAATGGACTTACCCTTTATGCGGACCTGTTTGATGAAAATAATGGTAGAATCATGGCAGGTGACAAGTCTAACTTGCCAAACTTATCCAATGTAAAAGAGAGGCGTAAAGATCTCGAGCCACATTTTACAATGACGGACAAGTCACCCGGATTCAAGCCATGCGAGAAAACATCAGAAGATAGAGCGAAGACTGTTCGGATGATGGAAGCGAACTGGTCATCTCATGATGATTCACCTAATCTAAAAGAAAATAACAAAACTTCTCTCCCACTTCGCTCTGGAACTGGAAACCCCCTGACCGAGACAACTAATACCTCAAATAAGAGGGGTGAAACCTACAGAGGTATCAAAACCGACGGTGATGGTATGGGCGGCAAAAAAGGCGCAGATAGAATATGGGGGTTTGGAGATGATAGTGACGGCGAGGAAGAGGGTGGAATTAACCGGGGAGGTAAATTTGCCACTGGTAAGCAAGCTGGAAAGGCGCAAGCTCTCGGTGGGGATTTTTGGGATTTTTGAAGATTTGGCTACGCGAAACCTAGAAGTATCAATTCGTAGTCTTACAGGGAGGCTAGGACGTGACCGCACCACTAGCCTAAAGAGTTTTATTAAACAGGAGTAAAGTTGTTTACAGTGAGAGGTTTAATTTGTATAGTGTCAGCTACAATCGTAAGGCGATATTCTTGAGATAAACTATGAGTGTTCGTACTACATATGTTGAAGGCATTAGCAATTCCTAAATAATAAAGTTCAAGCCTCAACCTGTTGGTTTTAGCTGATCTGCTTTAATACTTTTACAAACGTACAAGTATCACGTAAGAGATTCGACTCCGATAAATGGGATAATAAGCTGATATATCACTATTTGTGCTTCAGGGGTTACGGTTGCAAGAATGGCCAGTGATATTTTACAACCCACTTCTGAGGATTTGGGCGAGACAAGAACGATCACTCAGATCCTGGATGGCACAGGAAAGCGTGAGCAGCGGCAATGACTGAAGACATGTGACCAGTCCTCACAGCCGTAAAGATGGGAGGGGGCGATCAATAGAGCTGGGAAGGATAGCATGTTGCCATATGCTTGCGGTGGTCAGAATGTTCGCAGACCTTTTAGTTGCTCAAGTGGCAGCAATTATTGTTCTTGATGCACGTTTCTCACACAGGATCAAAATTAATTATGAAAGGTAATTTGCAAGGCTAACCAACAGGTACAGTGAAAAGTTATACTCTCCTCACCGTCACTATGTGGGACATTCTTATTCCCTCCAATAAACTGAATGTGACTTTCCGCTGGGTGATGAAGATGCAGTTCTACCAGATCACGTCAGGACCAGCTGTTGAGTTCGGTAGTTCAGTATCTCGACAGGCCATTGAGCTGGTTACGCGGACCTCTGGTAGCGTGAGATTGTGTTGAATCATCTTTTGATTGCATGAGTTAGTCACCGTACGATACAGGCTATGATACGTCGTGGTCAGGCGGCCCATCGGTCAACAAGCACACAAAATGGGAAGAGACTTGGGCTCTACATAAAAATATTTACTTGAGATGAAGCGCCGTTCGACTTAGAAAGGACTTTGAGATCGCTTATTTCTTGAGGCTTTGAGGTAGCTCTAGTTAGACTTCGTTGTTTTGGACGCGTCTAAGCTCTTGAGCTTTTGAAGTTCTTTTTGGACAGCTGCCTTCACCCGTTTCTGCAACTCGGGCCGGTACCCGAGGGTGAATAGTATTTCCATGAAAACAAAGAAGGGCGCCAAGACGAGAGCTTGCACGAGATTATCTAGGAGTGCTGGCGCCCGGCCTTCATGGACGATGTGACCGTAGAACTGAGCGAGCCAGGAGACGAGGTTAATGGCGATGGCGATTTTGTTGGTAGGTGCTGGCGACGTGATAGTGAGACTTTTGGAAAAGGCGGTCCAGGCCAGGAGGATCGGGAAGAGGAAGCTCCCGGCAACAGGCTCAAGGAGCATGTAAAAGCCGCCGTAAAAGATGGCGGCCATGGTGCCAATATTCAGCGGGAGGTTGGATATCGTAAGCCAGGTCGGGAGTGGGATGAATGTCGGACTATTGGTCGCCTGAGCATTTTAGCTGACGAGCTTACTTAGATCAGGACTGCTTGGATATACAAGAGTCAAACTGGTGGCCAGTATTAAGGGTACACATATCATGTGTATGCGCACATTGGTAGTATTATGATGATAGGCTCCATACTGCTTCATATTAGTACCCGGGACTGTGAGGGTTGGAGGCTCGATGATTCTACGTACAAAGCAAAGCTGCTTCTCCAGGTCGAGAGACATCCCGGAAGCGTAGAGCTTGGATGGCCTTGTCGAGAGAGTATGAGGGGAAAAGATGGTGAAGAAGCAGTGTTACCAAGAAGAATGGAGTGATGTGTGCCCCGAGGCAGGCAGGTCTCCGCGGGCAAGCGGGGGGTCGACGTAATAGAGACCGAGTAGTTGTTGTGATGAGAGTCGGAGAATGAAGGGTTATCTTCTGCACGCATGCACATGGGAACTAGCCGTGCGACGAGAACCGACCAGCGCATTGAGCAACGATCTTTACCCGATGAGCCTCGTGTCCGCCTACCATTGCGCGCGCGCAATAGAGTGAAGATGTCCGCAATGAGAGAAGGTCATCGCCTTTGTGATGCACAATTATAACAATGACTGTCTCTTCTATCCCTCTCCGTGTCACAAACCTTCCACCAGAAATGTTTTTCCACCCATCCACGAAAATTACAGTATTTAGGTTGATCAGGCTACTTTGACTACGAGTCCACACAAACGAGAAGTCCTATACATCTTTGGCGACCTGAAGTTTGCTTTCAGTCCACCGCCAAGCTCCGCAATTCACGCCGACCTTATTGAAGTGGAGCTTGAAGTCTGTCTCAAACCTTTGCCCTTACCCATTAGTACGGGGAACGACGTCTCGAATCCTGTCAGTGGAGAATCTACTTCGCCAAGACTGAATCTGGCACTAGAAGAGGACGCTTCTACTTTTGATGATCCCACGGCATTGTCTGATACCCAAGACAAACTCAGGAGTCAGTTAAGGCTACCAACCTACAAAGACTCTTTATCGGGATATTTCCATTACTTGGACATCACCTTTGTCTAGTGGTGAGGTGTGAATGAGGGAATCAACTTACAGAAGACTAGGAAGGTAGAAAGAACCTTTTTGCTCTGTACAGTGTTAAACGAGTAAAGTCCAACAACTAACAAAAGATTCTTACTTTGCTTCTGCATGGATCTTTCGGTTGGGAAGATGGTCGAATGCTGACTTACAAAACGCCACATCTGCCTACAGTCCAATATCCTGGTAAGCGTGAATTTGCAAGCATTTACTGACCCAGAAAGAAATCCGGTGTTGTCTTGCCATTGTCTATACCGCTTAGGCCATTATTAGCCTGGACTGAAATGATACGTACCACCTGGTGCACCAATGGGGCTGGTGTCGATTTCTACTACAAGCTCACTAAAATAGTCACTATCCTAGGCTTCTTTGTCTCTGATCTTCGCACGATCTGCTGCGCCGAGACTAGCTCCGTCAAGGTGCAAAGATCGCTTCTTCATGTCAACCCGGCCAGAAAGATGGAACATGAATATGAATAACTGCTTTTTACCAGGGACACTGTTTGTACCAAGAATAATCCAAAAAGGCTTCCTAATTCTCATTACAGTGGATATCAGACATCATCGGAAGGAGAACGGCTATATTTCCTCAATGTAGATTTTGTTGCCCTGTATCTCACTAGAGAAGAATCATAAAGATAAAAGTTTGATTAGTACCGCCTAGAGGGTACTCTCATGCAATTTCCTTTTCTTTCTAATCAAAGATACAGTATCTAGATATCTACTTATGTTAAAAATAGCCATATCACTAAATCACCATAGCATTAAGACTATCATAGGAAGAACTATAAGGACTCAACTCTGAGACTTGACTATTTATCAAAAGTCAATGGAAATAGTTGCTGATTGGGGAAGATCAAATACGAATAGCAATTAACAGGGTTGGGTCAGTAAAAATCAGTGAGTGCCACACAAAAAAGACTTTGTCCGGCTACAAAGGTACCACCAGTTTAAAGAAAAGTCCAGTACGTCATCAAACCACACTTGTAATATCCTGGCTTCATAAAACATAATTCCATGATATCATCCATAACCATTAGAAGCATAGACAGGTGGTATTGTGTGATACTACCTATGGGCAAATAGCCAATAATAGCTCAAAAATTCACTAATTCATCTTAAGAGTGAACAATTTTAATTATCAAACCCTGCTGGATAATTAGAGCGCTCCTTTATCCGAGTATATTGCTTGGATTCTCACCTTACAGATCTTTAATATCAACTGGGTAAATTTTTCTCCGCTCGAAATAACATCGCATCCTCATAGATCCCACGGCAAGGTCTCGTCTTTTTCAACACTGGGATCCACGATGTTGATTATTGCCTTCGGCAAGTTCGTATTTCTTTTCCCAGATCCCTATAACCTGCCTTGCAAAGTTTATTTTTGTTAAATTTATTCTATATAGCTACATAGATCTAATTCTGGAAAACCCACGAGATTTCGGATAGTCATCTGCTTGATAGTATTCAAATATTTTATTTGTCGCGTTAAAAATGATGCAAAAGATGCTTGTAGAAAGCAAATCGATCCTTGCACCCTCAGATTTAACAGGAATTCTAGAGGCTCTTCGAAATTGTTTTAGAACATAAGATAAATTGTCAATCATTCTCTCTCAATTCATTTTGTTTCTAATCATTTGCAAAAAGCAACACGCTAGCTTTCTAATAACAATGAAAAAATAGAAGAGGATGATCCAGCTCTCATGACCTAACATGAAATATGGCCCGACATTTTCGCCCTCCTTTTTACTCTATACATCTGTCTCGATCAAGCATGTAGCGCTGCCTGCATCTTCAGATCCTAGCGATTTTGCTTGGCCGAGTTGAACTTTTTCACCAATTCATTAAGGTGCCTAGGCCGGTAGAATACCATTGGCACTCGCGCCCACCTCAAATCTCGATTTCGCTAGACTTAGCTACAACTTTATCTGAGTATTTTGCTAAGTATTTCTCTCTTTCTCCTCCGCGTTCTATGTCACCTCAGCGGTGTGATATTATACGAGTTAGCGTTTTTATATACCAGAGGCTGCCGACTAGAGATGTTGGGCCAGTAAAATTGCTACGAGACCAAGGCTAGTGAATACATCGATACTTCAGCTCGAACAGTGATGGGTGATATTGCCGCAGACTTTGTCCACCAACTCAACTTAGGCTCACGGACTAAACCCCTATCTGGAAAACAACAGCGGCTGGACGTGCTCGATAAAAGACGAATGGATAGGATGTCCCAGCAAATTATCCTAATTCTATCAAGTTATGGCGGAATAAGTCAAAATAGGGCACCTGTGGGCGCACCCATTTGAACAAGGCGCTGAAAAAAGTTTAGGTGATCTCTTATGACTCCAATTTTTCGAATCCTCCCGTGTTTAACGTGTGACTACGATGGGCGTTGCACCACAAATATTTGGGGACGAGCTGTGTACCCTGTACGCTTGACACCTCATATCTTAGACACAGGATGACTATACTTTGTTGGAAACACCGCGAAAAAAATTGACGTAATATTCCTGAGATAAAAGAAAAAGTCGAACAAAAGGGTTTCTTGTTCAGATTGCTACCAAAAAAGTGGGAGGTGTGTGTTATAAGTACAAGTACAAGTGTAAACGGCAAAGAGCCTAAGCCACAACATAAACCATTAAGGCACCGTCTAGACGTGGAATAACCCCAACTACCTATGTGCCTACGCCACTCAGCGGCTCATAGGAGGGCAAGACTGAACACCTGTACGCGGTGTCCTCTACGAACCTAGGAGTGAAATATTCTCCCAGAGCCAAGTTCAATCAAAATTCGCGATACCGAACCAGTTGGCCCATGACGCAATGACTCAATTTACTCCATCATGTCTTTTTTTTCGCTCCCAACGAGCTTGACTCCTGCCTAAGTCTCATCAAGCCTACAAGTACGACCTATTACATCCTCGTTTCAATGACCACACCTCTTGCCGACTTTCTCTGGCCTCAGCCGACCACCAAATACACGCCCACGCCGATATTTACACCCGACGGAGGAAGCAAAGCGTGGCGCACAAATCTAGGAGACAGTTCTTTGGGATAGGCGTGAGAGAGATCAGAAAAAGTTCACAAGATGATACAAAGGAAAGATATTAGCTCGAAGGGCGTGAAATTCCGAATTTTGGCAAGGAGTATATCGAATTGGGCTTTGTGCGCGCTAAGACTTCGCTTGCGAGAGTGCAGCTGACACTATAAAAACAAGTCGACGACGGAAGGTGCCGTGGTCCGCCTTCTGGCGGTATTCACCGGTATAGTTTGAGTAGCCTGGGCACCTACTCCACTTGGGAAGGAGACGCCTAAGACCATATTTCGCGCGGAGAAAATATAATGGATGACGGAGGCATGTCTGGATAACTTAGGAGTTTTGAGACGTTCCCCTGGATAGGTATTCACGAATGAGGGTTGACTTGGGGTGAAGAATAAGCCACCATAACTTCGCAGTGGTCCTTGCAAATGAAATCCGAGGCATGAGAGCTCCTCTTGTAAATTAAGTCATCTTTTCTGTATTTTTCTTTGATATTGTGTCATAGCTAGATAGCTGCATACGCAAATTAAAATCTGATGCAAAAACAATAACAGCGGATCATTTATAAAATAGGTAGTTTGAAACACCGCCATATTACTGATTCCAATCCCAGAATTGCACGCAAAATCGTATCAGGACCCTCAACGAAATAGAGGGCCCGTTCGTCAACAACTCTCTGTGTCTCCATTTCAAACTCAACTTAGTATTTATCGTTTATTAATTCAGCTGTATCGTGATAAGGCATATTTTACTTAAAGCATTAGCCTGGCTACTAGCTAGGTCATTCGGAGAGCCAGATGACTTAGTTACTGCTCCACTACGCAGCATTGTGAAGGCTGCTCTTTAAAGAAACTCGCTTGGGCATGAGCTACTTCTATTTGTGGCGGCTAGTAAGCCGGTAGATTGCCTGTAGCCTTTGCTATTTATCACATGCATACTCATTACCTCAGCGCTAAGATACGCTTGTATTGAAAGTCTGGTACTGCCCGTGCACAAAACATCGTTGGTAACTAGCCCACACTTTAATAATGGGAGCCGGACTAGAGGACAGAGACTAGTGTATGAAATATTGGGATCAGGTACATAAATAGGGCGTTGAGTGTAGCAGTAGTCTGGTTCTTCAGTTATTAAAT